ATTCACAAGACACACAGAGAGAAAGGCAGAGACATAGGCAGAGGGAGAAGCAGGCCTCCTTGCAGGGAGCCTGATGAGACTGGATCCCCAGACTCTGCAGTCACGACCTGAGCTGAAGGCAGATGCTCAACTGCTGAGCCACCCATGAGTCCCCAGTATATCAATACTTGATTACCACCTCTAACTGAAGAATCTTGCCCAGAATAGAAAGACTTGTTATTATCCCTGTTATAGTAGTTTTCAAATAAAATAAGGAAGTCATAATTTGAAGACAACTCCAGAGCGATAAGCTTGTTTCAAAAATATTTTTTTCAAAATTATCTTCCTCACTGCTTCTTATTATTAGCTTTGATAAAAGATTATTGTATAACGTCTCATCAATGCAAAGGCAAATTTACTTTTGCTTATGGATTATTAGAGGAACTGTGGAGAAATATATTCTTACTCTACTGTACTTGGCAGTAAGTGTCATTGTGACACTTATTTGGTCTCTCTCAGGTCAGTCCTTAGAATTTTTCACCTCTGTGTACCATAAAGGCAGGTAACTAATTTTCAGTTAAAACTACTCAGATGTAAATTTACCCAACATTAACATAAATCCAGTCACCCTTCAAGATTACGTCTGCTCTAAGCAGATTCAAAACCCTCTTTCCATTACCCCCTAAAAAGTAAGATAGTTGGCTAACTCAGAAAAAGAATTTATTGAGTAAGGAAAATGATTCATATTTTCCCTCAGCCATTCTCTAATGTCTACCTCAAAGCCAAGAAGGTAGTTTGCGTGGTCCATACTGACTCAGTCCTTGTATTCATGAATTTTAAATATGAATAACTGGCAATTTACAATGCCATAATTATTTTTAAGCATATAAAAAATTTTTAACTTAGTGAAAAATGGAGCAATGATTGGTTATATTTTATTATAACATGGTATTTCTAATGTCTTTTGGAATCATATTTAAACAAATATTTTATTCACATAATTAGATCATGTAATTCAAAGAAAAGATCTGCATGTCTAAGTTCTACAAAATTCCTAAAAGCATTCCATGATTCCAAAAATATCCAATAAATTGTTAATAATTTCCTAACCTTTAATATAATAGTTAATCAAAAGAAGATCAAGAGTTGGTCACTCTCAAATATTAAAATTCTGTATCAGTGAAAGAAAAACATTATTCTGGAAGCTTCTGATAAGCTCCATGGAGCTATCTGCATTACTTCAGATTAAAGGGATGACCCATGTATTTATCACCTGAAGTACCTACCAACAGAATGCCTGCCTGAGATCTGAAAAAAATGGCAAAAATCTACCACTAACATAGTAAAAATGCTTTTGAGCTACATTTGTTTCTGATTTTAATCTCTAACCTGCAAAATGGACTCAATTCAGTGAAACTCTAAAAATAAGGGCAATTAAAAATATGTGATGTACATTTTTTACATAGTTGAAATTAATGTCTAAAAAGAGGTATAAAAAAGTATGCTCATGTTGTGATGGGCAAAGAAGTTACATGTTGTGACAGGAGGTAAAGGTGTCTGAGAATCAAAGTTGAGGGAACTATAAGCAGAAGAAGAGCTGCTATAAATCCAATATGAGAACCTGATAAGGTAGAACCAAAGAATATGTAGGAAAAGTCCACCACTAAAAAAAAAAAAAAAAAAGAAAATTCCACCACTGTCATATAAAAAACATTTACTAAACCACATATGCAAACACTAATTAGACCCCGGTTACAACAAAGTAAAAAGAACAAAATGTTATAATATTGGAATTACACAAATCGTATTACTAAAACCTAAAAGTATAATGAATGAAGTCGTCAAAACATTCCCCTATTAGAAAACAAAGTTCAAGGATTTTCTCATGGTTTCATCGACAGAGAGGATTATAATTAATAATAGATCTTATAAATTCCTGATTTCCTCACCCAAGCTTACCCAGTAAGCCTTTGGAATGCATTACATTTTCACTAGAATACCTCCAAATCAATCACTGGCATTTTGATTGTAGAATATTGTCATTGCAACAAGGGTCTCCAGATGACATTTAGAAAAATATATGCATTCACTCTAACTTGATAGGCATACCTAATTAAAGGTCCAAAAGGAGCAGACGAAGGAGAAAACAAACAAACATAAGGACGTCATCTGCACTAAGAGCTCCGTAAGACAGGCTATTATGTGCTCATTGTATTTCTCTAGGTATTTTTTGTAGCCTCAAAGTGACTTCAATAATAGCAAAGAAACAAACAGTATACACCTAATGAACCATAAAGAATTGTGTCCAATATTTGTTGGAAAGGAAAGAAACACTGTGAATCGTCACAACTCTCCTATGAGGTGGGTCCTTTTATTACCCTCACTCTACAGATGAGGAAACCTAAGTACACGGTGGTTAAATCACTTGCCACACATCATAATGTTATTAAGTGGCTGAGATACAAAGTCAGTCATTCCCTATTACAACTATGATAAGAATTATGTTTTCATAATGATCATGTAATTCTACTACTGCTCTTATTTCTAAAGGTACCAAACCCCATTTTAACCTAACAAAACTCCCACACTTATTGAGAATAATAATTTTCATATAATTTACTCTGAAAACACAGGAACCTTTTGAATTTTGATAATCTTGTAAGCAATTAATTTTTAGCATAAAAATGACAGAACACCAGCCTGCTCTAAGTTCATCTAATATTTTAATCTAGATGACGTGACAGTTTCTCTCTTTCCAATGAGAGAGAAATATCAGCACTTCCACTAACAATGAAGCATAGTGTTTAAAACTTTCCAATAAAAGTTCATCCAGTTTTACATCCTTTCATGTATAAAAGTTGTCAACTCAAACTTCTCCAACCTTAGAACAACATCACAAATAATCCAAAAACCATTTCTAGTTGGCACTACAACTCTTTAGAAATTAACAATGTGATTGTGATAATGTAGAAAAACCCTGGACTGGAGTCTGAAAACCTACCCACACTGATCCTGGCTCTGTCACTAACTAGCAATTGAGTCCCTTCCACTGCTCTGGTCTTGGTTTCATGATCTGCAAAATAATCATCTCCATGGTCTACTCTCCCAGCTCTAAAGGAAATGTGATTCCTGTACATACATCTTTTTTCCAAGCTCCTTATCCTCATTCTATTTAGTTATTATCAATACTTTGCAAGCATGAAATGTTATTTTTCCTTAGTTCTACCAAAGGAGAAAACTGCCCATTCTTAACTAAGGTGATAAGGGAAAGCCTTCTGACCACTAGTTTGCCATAGATGAATCTCAAGGTGAATAATGTAGAAGCTATCATAATGCTAAAAGGTGTTAGGTTTCAATATTTTAGGCTACTGTTTTGTATGCCAGTACATTCTCCCTAAGGACAAATAGTAAAATTCAAGGACAATAGGGAGGGAAAAAAGGTAATTATCCATCAGTTGTTGGAGAGCTAAAAAGGTGTCAAATGAAAACATTAGTACTTTTTGCAGAGCATTTTTCTCTGATGAATTACATTACAGGGCAACATACCATCTACAAATTTTCTCAAAAACGTTTAAGTACTCCCTAAAGAAAAAAAAAAAAGGCTTTCCTTCTATAAATTGTGAGGAATTAGTATATGTTACATATACTACATAAACATATATACACACATAAAACATCCATATGATTAAGAAAACATTTAAAAGATGAAAAGATCTAGCTGTGCGATTCTTAGCTTCCTCTTCTCAGTGACATCAAGAATCTCAACCGGGTGCCAGAGGTAGATTCTGTGGACTGCCACTGCCTGACCCCGGCATGCATTTTCTCTGTTCCTAACCCATTCTCAAGAGTTATGCAAATACAGGATCATTAAAATTAAACTAAGCATCTGGCATTAATATTCAACCGTTAGAAAGCTCAGCCTCATTTTAGTACTGCTTTCTTAGAGCATCTTCCCAGTATAATACTTAAAAGTTGACCTTGTAAAGAAACAATTGAAAGCAAGGCAAAGAAAGAAGGCGAATTACTTAATAATCTTGTAGAATTAAAGTGAGCAGCAAATTCTAATAGCAGAGTCCACTGTAACCGTTAAGCCAGGGCGAGGTAAGCCATAGCTATAGACCGAGGGACCTGAAGAAAGGATATTCAGCAGATGTAGAGGCGGCCACAAGAATTTCAAGGTGCAGTTTTATGAGCATTTCCAGCAAAACCAGTAACTGGTAAAACACCATCAAACACGTAGGGATAACTGACAGGTTCCAGCAGCAAGGCTCCTCTTGGCTGGAACGCCAAAATAAAATGTCACAGATCACCTCGAGAATCCAATCCCCCAGCCTTTCAAAGTTGGGAACCAAACCGACATGTGGACTTCAGCTGCTTCTCAGCATCCTCCTCCAGAGGCAATTCCCTCTCCGGAAAGTCGGTCTGCTTCAGCTCCTTGAATGCCCAGATCCCAGCACCCGAGCACAGCAGGAGCCCAAGTAGTTGCGGAAGGGTCTTCCGGCGGCCGCCTGCGCATCCCTTTCCACCTCGGGTTAAACCCCCCCGGGGGTGGGGGGGCTCCCGTCCCTTCCCCATCCGACTCCCCAGTCCTCTCTCTCAGCTCCCGCTGGGCCGCTTCTCGTCGACCTTGAAGACCCCCGGACCGGAGCCTTGGAGCCCACGGGACTTGGCCGGCGGCCCCTTCCCCGCGGCGCGCTGCTGCGCCCGAGTCTCCGGGCCTCGCTCCGACCCCTATCCCGGACGACCCCCTTCCCCTTGCGCGCCCCACGTCCCTCCCTCCCACCAGAAAAATAACTGCTCGTAAACGCCGCGAGAGCCTACTAAGCGCAAGCCCCACTGGGCGCAGCTCGGGGCGCAAGGGCTCGCGGCCCGGACTCGCGGTCCCCCGCCCGCCGCCTCCGCCCGGCCGCGGGGCCGGCGCTGCCTCGCTGCCCGGGGCGTGGAGGCGCCGGCCGGGGGCGGGCTGCCCGGAGGACCGGCAGGCGGCCGCTAGCGGCGGCGCGGGCCGCGGGGACACTCACCGGCTGCGGCGCGCGGGGCGGCCTCATCCAGGGCACCTGCGGCCAGGCGGACGGGCCCGGACGGCGCAGTCACCGACAGGGCGAGTCCGCCCGCTCGCGCGCCGCTCCCGTCCCGTCCCCTCCGACTGCCCGGCCGCGCGCCGTCTCGCTGCCTCCGCACGGAGCGCGGGGACCCCAGCTCTGCCGGATGCCCCCGCCAGGCCCCCACCCCCTTCCCCCGCTCCCCTCCCCCCTCCCCCCAACCCCCACCGGAATGGAAAATACCTCCCGGGGCGGGGGGCGGGGGCGGCGGGGCACGCCTCTCGGAAGGGCGGCCTACCGTGACCAATAGCAGGCGGGGCCCCGGGGGGGCGGGACTCCCGGCGGCCAATCCGGAGGCGTGTAGGTGAAGGCCGAAGGAGGGAGGCCGGGAGCGAGAGGGGGGCGGCCCGGGAGGCAGGGAGGTCCGGCCGCTCGGGCGCGCGCTGTGCGCGGCTGCCATTTTGGAGTCGGGCAGCTGAGACGGCGGCCGGGTCCGGCCCGGGGGGGGGCGGGGGGGGGGGGGGAGAGGGAGGAGCCAGTCAGGTGGGAAAGAGGCGGTCACGTGGGCCGGAGGGGCGGGGCAAGCGGGCTGCAGCGGGGGGAGGGGGCGGAGGCGGCGAGTCACGGGGGCCGCGGGGGTCACGTGGTCGGGGGCGGGCCCGCGGTGGGCTCGGGGGCGCAAGGTCAGCCCGGGGTGGGAGAAGGAGGGAGGCTTTGTCCCCGGTTTCAACTCCGCTGGGGAAAAGGAAAGGAAAAATGATGAATGGAGGGTGTGAGTGCCGGGTCGGAAAATGTGAATGAGTCTCCCCAGCTCCCTGCAGCGTTGGAGCCACCCCGTTACTAAATTGCAGGATGCACGGGCAACTGGGCGCTTCACTGAATTCCAGCAGTCCCGTCCCTGCTCCCTGCTGTCACCGACGTGACTCACGGGGCCGATGGAGGGGTGACTGCCCTCCACTTTGTGCCGGCACTTTATGCGGAAGGGCCCCCGCCCTAGAAATGGCTGAAAGGGGAGAAGCAGAGTTGAGGCTTTGTGACGCCAGCAGGACTCTACATCTGGCGTTTTAGAAACCGTGTCGTCATTCACAGAATTTCCCGGCCACCTCTGTTTTGGACATAGCCATGACCGTGGATGGTCCAGCGCCTCCAGACTTGAAACGGAAAACAACTGGCCCGCGAGCCCCTTTATTTCAAGTCTTGCACCAAGTGCAGTGTCTCCTCGGGCTACCGGGGCTACCGGTGACGTCCCTGTGGCCCACCAAGTTCAAGGGTCACTTTTTAAATTCCTGTTTGGCCTCTAGTGCAGTTAAAGTCTATGGGCTACATCTCTCTTTAAGCTTTTTCTCTTCCCCAGTGCACCCCTCGCTCCAGTTTTCCCCTGAGACTATAAACACTCAGGTTGTCAACCTTACTAAATATGTTATCTGTAGACTCGGCAACAGAGTCAGTCAGTCCCAAGAGCTGGGCCCCAGCCCTTGCCTTACTCAGTAGGGACGTAGGGACGCAGTCATTCCTGCACACCAAGCGATCTAAGCACGTTGACGGCTGAGTGTACCTTTAATGAGGTCCGAATCTGCACGCATCGGCGTTTTTGGACATCTCCACCTGAACCCCATTATGACCTACCCAAATCAGAACACAAACCCTCAAAACTTGCTCTTTCTCGTCTGCTCCTTATCTTCTTTGATAGTGTCACCATCCACTCCCCCAAATCCAGAACCAGGAGCCATGTAATCCTCCATGCTTCTCCCTCACTGCTCTAAATACCTCTTAACCCTTTCTAACTTTGTCATGTTGGTTATATTTCCTAGATGCCCTTTCCTCTCCGTTTCTACATCCAACTGCCTAACCCGAGTCACTTATTCACTAAGCCAGTATTTACTGATCACTATACTATGTTTCAAGACCTCAGGATATAGTGGTGAACCCAAGTGACAAGGTTCCTGAATGGCATGAGACAAACAGTATGTGAGCAAACTAGTAAGTGAACAAGATAACCAGAGGGTAACAAGGGCCTCACATTGTTGCCTGTCTCTTCACTTCAAGTCCTTCCCACCCGGACCCCACAATCTTCTCATCCTTTCTTTTTATTCTCAAAGAAGGAATGGCCCTGACCCTTTCACCTGGTGTCATAATTTCATTCCCTTTCATCAACCATGACATCCCTCTATATTACAGCTGCCTGAACATGAATCCCTTAATGAGAAGATAAGCTAGCTACTTTGAGGGCAGGGATCGTACTTTATGCATCTTTATGCCTCCACAGTGCCTTGGCTCACAATAGGTGCTCGCAAAATAAGTGTGAAACGGTGAATTCCCTGACAGCTGAATCAGGCTGCCACAAAAGCATCCTCAGCCCAAATCAGAATGGGAAGGTCAGGGATCCCTGGGTGGCGCAGCGGTTTGGCGCCTGCCTTTGGCCCAGGGCGCGATCCTGGAGACCCGGGATCGAATCCCACGTCGGGCTCCCGGTGCATGGAGCCTGCTTCTCCCTCTGCCTGTGTCTCTGCCTCTTTCTCTCTCTCTGTGTGACTATCATAAAATAAATAAAAATTAAAAAAAAAATAAAAATGAGCTTGATCTCAAATATTGTTTAAAAAAAAAAAAAAGAATGGGAAGGTCAGTGAACTGAGCTAGGAGAGTGTAATGACAGTGGTACCTCATGGCAGGGGTGAGGTTATGAATGAGGTCACTCCTTTGGTCCCCTCCAGGCCTGGGCTTCCATGATGCTGTGCCCCGTGGGTGGCAGTAGTTGCTTCATAAACACTATTTTACTTGACGATGCCAAGTGCATGTGGGCAATTTAAAAGTACTCTTTGTTTCTGATGATGAGCTGTAAACCCAGAGCATTCTGGGTAAGTTGCCAGGATAGGCCCTGCAGGAGAAGGTTGCAGTTGCCACTTCACTTCATATTTCCAGGCCCTTGGGTATTGCACCCCAACAGGGAGCGAGATATTGCCAGTTCTGTCATAGTCATTGTAATTAAATCCAAGTTCTGGCAAAGGGCAGTGCGTAATTATGAAGTATTATTATGGTTTTTATCATTATTAGGCACCCAGCTGCCCAGCCCAGGAAACCACAGTAGTAAAACACTGAGAAGCCAAGCTTCTCTCCCAGCTGGCATGAATCAAGACCAGGTGTATTGGCACGCAGTCTTGCAGTTCCACTCATCAAGACGAGACCTTCTGTCCCCTCATTTTGGCAAGATAAAAATTTAAATGAATGGAAAGAGGAAATATGAAGAAGGACCTTTGCCACGACCTCTGAGTCAAGTTCCTTTCTTCTCATCTCACCAGAATGGTCTCATCTACGATTTATTGTGTAAATCTTTTTCAACTTTATCCTTCACCTGCCAGCTTCATGAACATCATTCCCCGAGGTCTACTCAGGATGTATTAGTTAGGATGGGATATAGAGAGCAGAAAACTTTTTACTTTCAAGAAATTTATGGTATGTACTAACTCAGAAAGTATAGTTAGGTTTGACAAGACATCTGCCTTTTATTGAGCATCTGCTCAACACCGTACTCAGCACTTTCACACGTGCTATCTGACTTAATCCCTACTACCCCACAAAATGGATTTTATTATTCTCATTTTCTTCAAGATCTCAAAGACTTAGTAAATAACAAAATTGAAATTACGACATAAATATACAGATCTGGTGATTGTAAACTCATAGTAGATGTGTCTGTCTACACTCATAGTTGAATACAGGTATCAAATTTCACCTCTTTCTTCTGAATGAAAAATGGGCATTTTGTACAAAGTAGATTTTAAGCTAAGCACTGAAAGGACAATTCAGAAATGATGCTGAGAGAATGGTGCCAAATGAGGAAGCCAAATTGGCCATAAGCCTAAAATCAATCAATAAGGACAGATTTGTTGTTCAGCAATGTCATATCCTATTCTTCAAGTATTTTCATTGTCTCAGCTACTCCCAAGTGCGGAAGTCACCCCAGGTGGTACAAGGGTGGGCTGACAAAGGAGGAGGGCGGTTTAGGGAGGGAATATCCTTTGGAATGGAGAACTCCCAAATGGCCCATAACCTGGCATATCTAGCATGGTATCTGGAACAGCCAGAACCATGGCAGCTTTCCCTGCTGCCAATCATTCATTTTAACTGATACGTGTAGAACAATTTTCCATTCTCTTCTGTTTTTCTAAAACAATGGGTTAACAATTTTTTTTTTTTTTAGTTTTAGTTTTTGACACAGCAAGGGGAGCATAAGCAGAGGGAGAGGGAGAAGCAGGCTCCCCACTGAGCAGGGATTTCCCCCCCATGTGGGGCTCTATCCCAGGACACCAGTATCATGACCTGAGCCAAAGGCAGATGCTTAACCAACTGAGCCACCCATGCGCCCCTGATTAACAATTTTTAAAGACAATTCATTTAGAACTTACTAAACAAACCTACAGGGCAGTTCACTTTGTATTTTAGTGTTTTTTAAGATTCAACAAAATACACTCATTTTAAGTGTATAGTGTGATCTGTTTTCAGACGTGCATGCCCTTGTAACCACTCACTTAATTGTAAAACAGAAATATCCATTACCCCAGAAAAGTTCCTGTGTGGCCCTTTTGCATAGGAATTTGAATACAAATTTGTACTGTAATGACTCCAAAATTGAGATCTCCAGCTTTAACCTTGCTTTCCGAGTCTAGGCCCATATTTTCAACTACCTGCTTGACATATCCACCTGGATGCTGCAAACAGGCACCCCAAACTAAGCATGATTGAAAGATGGAGCAGACGGTGTTTTATCTTTTCTACAAGAAAACTCCTACCTCCAATTCCCTTCTGAAATCATGTTTCTGTTTTCTTCAGTTTCTGTTTCTTCTGGTTGAAATAGTGATCATTTACCAAGTCATATAAGCTACAAGTTTTTAAAAATAATCACTACTTCTCCCTCTCTGACACCTCCCCAGAAGTGAATCTTACTCACACAAACATTTTAAAGTCAGCCCTCTGCATTTCCAGTATCCTCATTCAGACACTTATCTTGCTTGCACGATCACCAAGAAAAAAAATACTCCTAACTTGTTTCTTCATGCTCCAATTCATCCACCAAGCTGCCACTTTAATTTTCTTTTGAAAACCCAAATCTGACTGTTTCAATCCTTTGCTTTCAGGGACTGCCCAACTGCTTAAAAATGGCACTGGAAGTCTTTCA